CTGTAAAAAAGGGAATTACGGGATGGGAGGGAGCAGGAAAAATGGGAATTCTGGGATGGGAAGGAGCGGGAAAAATGGGAATTCTGGGATGGGATGGAGCGGGAATAACGGGATGGGAAAAACGGGAATCACGGGATGGAGCGGGAAAAATGGGATGGGATGGAGTGGGAAAAACGGGAAGCACAGGATGGGAAAAACAACAGGAATCATGGATGGGAGGGAGCGGGAAAAATGGGAATTCTGGGATGGGAGGGAGCGGGAAAAATGGGAATAACGGGATGGGATGGAGTGGGAAAAACGGGAATCAGGGATGGGAAAAACAACGGGAATCATGGATGGGAGGGAGCGGGAAAAATGGGAATTCTGGGATGGGAAGGAGCGGGAAAAATGGGAATTCTGGGATGGGAGGGAGCAGGAATAACGGGATGGGAAAAACGGGAATCACGGGATGGAGTGGGAAAAATGGGATGGGATGGAGCAGGAAAAACGGGAATTCTGGGATGGGAGAGAGCGGGAAAAATGGGAATTCTGGGATGGGAGGGAGCGGGAAAAATGGGAATCATGGATGGGATGGAGCAGGAAAAATGGGAATTCTGGGATGGGATGGAGCAGGAAAAATGGGAATTCTGGGATGGGAGGGAGCAGGAAAAATGGGAATTCTGGGATGGGAGGGAGCGGGAAAAATGGGAATTCTGGGATGGGAGGGAGCGGGAAAAATGGGAATAACGGGATGGGATGGAGTGGGAAAAACGGGAATCAGGGATGGGAAAAACAACGGGAATCATGGATGGGAGGGAGCGGGAAAAATGGGAATTCTGGGATGGGAATCACGGGAATCAGGGGATGGGAAAAACAATGGGAATTCTGGGATGGGAGGGAGCAGGAAAAATGGGAATAACGGGATGGGATGGAGCGGGAATAACGGGATGGGAAAAACGGGAATCACGGGATGGAGTGGGAAAAACGGGAATCAGGGGATGGGAAAAACAACGGGAATCATGGATGGGAGGGAGCAGGAAAAATGGGAATAACGGGATGGGATGGAGTGGGAAAAATGGGAATTCTGGGATAGGAGGGAGCAGGAAAAACGGGAATTCTGGGATGGGAGAGAGTGGGAAAAATGGGATGGGAAAAACAACGGGAATCACGGGACAGGAAAAACAACGGGAATCATGGATGGGAAGGAGCGGGAAAAATGGGAATTCTGGGATGGAGCAGGAAAAATGGGAATCATGGATGGGAAGGAGCGGGAAAAATGGGAATTCTGGGATGGAGCAGGAAAAATGGGAATCATGGATGGGAAGGAGCGGGAAAAATGGGAATAACGGGATGGGAGGGAGTGGGAAAAATGGGAATAACGGGATGGGAGGGAGTGGGAAAAATGGGAATAACGGGATGGGAGGGAGTGGGAATTCTGGGATGGGATGGAGCAGGAAAAACGGGAACCACAGGATGGGATGGAGCAGGAAAAACGGGATGGGATGAAAAATGGGATAGGATGGAGCGGGAAAAACGGGAATTCCAGGATGGGATGGAGCGGGAATAACGGGATGGGATGAAAAATGGGATGGAGTGGGAATTCTGGAGCGAGAATTCCAGGATGGGATGGAGCAGAAAAACCGGGATGGGGTGGAGCAGGAAAAATGGGATGAGGGGGAATCCCAGCGGGAAGCGCTGCTGGAGCTCCGGGAATGTCTTTGTGATGGAATTTCACCGGAAAACCAGGGATCCAGCCATGGATAACGGATCCAGCCATGGATAACGGATCCAGGAATGGATAACGGATCCAGGAATGGATAACGGATCCAGCCATGGATAACGGATCCAGCCATGGATAACGGATCCAGCCATGGATAACGGATCCAGCCATGGATAACGGATCCAGCCATGGATAACGGATCCAGCCATGGATAACGGATCCAGCCATGGATAACGGATCCAGGAATGGATAACGGATCCAGCCATGGATAACGGATCCAGCCATGGATAACGGATCCAGCCATGGATAACGGATCCAGCCATGGATAACGGATCCAGGAATGGATAACGGATCCAGCCATGGATAACGGATCCAGCCATGGATAACGGATCCAGCCATGGATAACGGATCCAGCCATGGATAACGGATCCAGCCATGGATAACGGATCCAGCCATGGATAACGGATCCAGCCATGGATAACGGATCCAGCCATGGATAACGGATCCAGCCATGGATAACGGATCCAGCCATGGATAACGGATCCAGCCATGGATAACGGATCCAGCCATGGATAACGGATCCAGCCATGGATAACGGATCCAGCCATGGATAACGGATCCAGCAATGGATAACGGATCCAGGAATGGATAACGGATCCAGCCATGGATAACGGATCCAGCCATGGATAACGGATCCAGCCATGGATAACGGATCCAGCCATGGATAACGGATCCAGCCATGGATAACGGATCCAGCCATGGATAACGGATCCAGCCATGGATAACGGATCCAGCCATGGATAACGGATCCAGCCATGGATAACGGATCCAGCCATGGATAACGGATCCAGCCATGGATAACGGATCCAGCCATGGATAACGGATCCAGCCATGGATAACGGATCCAGCCATGGATAACGGATCCAGCCATGGATAACGGATCCAGCCATGGATAACGGATCCAGCCATGGATAACGGATCCAGCCATGGATAACGGATCCAGCCATGGATAACGGATCCAGCCATGGATAACGGATCCAGCCATGGATAACGGATCCAGCCATGGATAACGGATCCAGCCATGGATAACGGATCCAGCCATGGATAACGGATCCAGCCATGGATAACGGATCCAGCCATGGATAACGGATCCAGCCATGGATAACGGATCCAGCCATGGATAACGGATCCAGCCATGGATAACGGATCCAGCCATGGATAACGGATCCAGCCATGGATAACGGATCCAGCCATGGATAACGGATCCAGCCATGGATAACGGATCCAGCCATGGATAACGGATCCAGCCATGGATAACGGATCCAGCCATGGATAACGGATCCAGGAATGGATAACGGATCCAGCCATGGATAACGGATCCAGCCATGGATAACGGATCCAGCCATGGATAACGGATCCAGCCATGGATAACGGATCCAGCCATGGATAACGGATCCAGCCATGGATAACGGATCCAGCCATGGATAACGGATCCAGGAATGGATAACGGATCCAGCCATGGATAACGGATCCAGCCATGGATAACGGATCCAGCCATGGATAACGGATCCAGGCATGGATAACGGATCCAGCCATGGATAACGGATCCAGGAATGGATAACGGATCCAGCCATGGATAACGGATCCAGCCATGGATAACGGATCCAGCCATGGATAACGGATCCAGCCATGGATAACGGATCCAGCCATGGATAACGGATCCAGCCATGGATAACGGATCCAGCCATGGATAACGGATCCAGCCATGGATAACGGATCCAGGAATGGATAACGGATCCAGCCATGGATAACGGATCCAGCCATGGATAACGGATCCAGCCATGGATAACGGATCCAGCCATGGATAACGGATCCAGCCATGGATAACGGATCCAGCCATGGATAACGGATCCAGCCATGGATAACGGATCCAGGAATGGATAACGGATCCAGCAATGGATAACGGATCCGGCCATGGATAACGGATCCAGCCATGGATAACGGATCCAGCCATGGATAACGGATCCAGCCATGGATAACGGATCCAGCCATGGATAACGGATCCAGCCATGGATAACGGATCCAGCCATGGATAACGGATCCTGGCCATGGATAACGGACCCAGCCCCCCAGGAAGGAGCTCCAAACCCCCACCACAACAAACACAAGCCAACTTCTCACACCAGCTACAGCCTCAAGAACCCCACCAGCGCTGCTACACCCCTCCAAACAACAGTCACACGCACACACATTCCCAAAAAACCCCCATCCAGGTATCCCTGAACCTCCAGGCCACGTTCCATGGAAGGGCTGAGGGAGGAGGGAGGAGGAGCAGAGCTCTCCCAGCAGCTCCACGGGGTCCTCACCCCTCGGGGGCCGTCCACGGTGAGCAGCGGGAAACCGAGGCACACGACGGCGGTGACGTATTCCATCACGGAAACCTGGGGAGGGAGAGAACAGTCGGCATTCCCAGAGTTCTGAAGGGACGGATTCCATCGGGAATGGGAACAGTCGGCATTCCCAGAGTTCTGAAGGGACACATTCCATCGGGAATGGGAACAGTCGGCATTCCCAGAGTTCTGAAGGGATGGATTCCATCGGGAATGGGAACAGTTGGCATTCCCAGAGGAGGGCACACTCAGGAGGTGACAGGAGGTGACACTCAGGAGGTGACACTCAGCCGGGGACACTCAGCAGGTGACAGGAGGTGACACTCAGCAGGGGACACTCAGGAGGTGACAGGAGGTGACACTCAGGAGGTGACAGGAGGTGACACTTGGGAGGTGACACTCAGGAGGTGACAGGAGGTGACACTCAGGAGGTGACACTCAGGAGGTGACAGGAGGTGACAGGAGGTGACACTCAGGAGGTGACACTCAGCAGGGGACAGGAAGGGACACTCAGGAGGTGACACTCGGGAGGTGACACTCAGGAGGTGACACTCAGCAGGGGACACTCAGCAGGGGACAGGAGGTGACACTCAGCAGGGGACAGGAGGTGACACTCAGGAGGTGACAGGAGGTGACACTCAGGAGGTGACACTCAGCAGGTGACAGGAGGTGACACTCAGGAGGTGACACTCAGCAGGTGACAGGAGGTGACACTCGGGAGGTGACACTCAGGAGGTGACACTCAGGAGGTGACACTCAGCAGGGGACACTCAGCAGGGGACACTCGGGAGGTGACAGGAGGTGACACTCACGTGACAGGCCACCAGGGCGCCGGTGTTCCAGCCGATCAGGATGATCTGCTTGTGCGAGAAGTGGTTGTGGATCTGCGGGACACAACAACGGCAGGGCTGGGGACAGGGGAGGGACACCGGGTGATGGACAGGGGACAGCTGGCACGGGGCAGGGTGTGGGGCAGGGTGTGCAGGTGTACAGGTGTGCAGGTGTACAGGTGTGCAGGG